CACAGCCTTTTGCTGACTCCAAGCCAATCATAATCATCGTGACGGCTAGCTAGTCGCTTATCTTGATTATTAAGCCACATTTCGCATCTGTTTGATAGATTTCCCGCAAGCATAATAAATGCCTGTCCCGAACGCAAGCTTGCATTTAAAGAGAAAAGGCTGAGCCTTTTTCAATAAAGTTTATTACTAAAACTTGGCCTTTTTGTGTGTGTTTGAGCTGCGGTTAAAGTCGGGACAGATGTGAATTTATGGGGCCAGTCTCTCATTCTCTTACCTTCCCATTAGCTTAAGTGACACGACAAGGCCGAGGGAAATCTCAAGCAATAAGGGTGATTACTTTAAAAGATCACACAATCTGTTCATATTCCCGTAATGAGTCTGATTGATTAAACTACAGGGTATAAATATTTTACGGGGTCATGTCGCTCAAGTTATTGTTGCTGATTTGCCGGCAGACAAATTGGTAGAGTCGCATTTACTTATTTCACTATGAAACTGACATTTTCATGCGGATAAAAGGGCTGTTGCAGAAAGCGGAGCCATGAATAAAGTGGGGATATCTTCAAATCCACATGCTCACGACTATGGGTCGATGCCGTAAAAGCCAGTCAGCGTTTGTGTCCATCTTGCAGTGTGTACATGGATGCTAAAACCACCTGAATAATTTCATTTATATGCAAGTGTTAGATCTAAAACATCAAAACACTCAATATAACATATAATACTGGAAATCACTCGTTCACAAATGCCAGCAGAACTGGTTTTAGATTTACTGTGGCGTTCGCTAAGGCAAGAATCACTATTACTATTTGAAATGTTTGAGCAAAACCCTAATCCAGTGGTTCTCAACATTTTTTTGACTCCCACTGTCTGCAACAATATTCAAAGGCCACATGACCTTTCCAGCTGTTCATGATTTACTGGATACAATTATTTTTAAAAGAATGTTAATAACTTGATCAAATGTATAAAAATAGCTGTTGGAACTGTGGCACTTTAAAGAAAAAAACAATTGTTGAGAGAGTGAATTAAAACCAGAAATGTCATGATTTTAGCTTATTTTAATGCTCGTTTTGTCTTATTTTAAATCATTTCCATTTATCCCGAGGCTTCCTTTGCTGAGGTCCCCTAGTGGGCCCCGGCCCCTGATTGAGAACCACTGCCTAATTTTAATTAGGTGTGCAATTTGTGCCATGCCATTATGGACTATGGACATGAATGATATCTCAAATCGTGTGACTTGTTGAGTGACTTAAGTCTTGTTTTACTTTTATTTTCAGAACAAGGAGCATTCCCATGGGCTTATATTGAAGGAGAAATCATCTAGAAGACCCTATCAACCACATAGCAACAACCTGGCTGCAACGTGCAAGACCAACGTTTTGCATAGGTAAGTATCGCTCTCATTCTCTTCAGAACATTTTAATAAAACTATTTTAAAACTATAAATCACCTGTTTATGTAGAACCACTAACATACAGCCTAAAAATGTCGGTAAACATGAAAATGCATGAAAAGTGCTGCACTTAGCAACTGAGGCTCTCTCCTGTCCTATTTCTATGAGTTTAATACATGCAACTCCAAGGTCATGTGTTAGCCGCTTCGGATAAAAGTGTCTGCTAAATGTAATGCAAAAGTTAACGTGCAATTTACCTAATCAGGTAGACGCTACATGGAGTCCTTTTCTTGACTTTAAAACCTATCCCATGTAAAACTTTTGAGGGTTTCATTGACAACTTTCAAGCTGTAAAACCCTATAATCTCCCGTCAGTGAGCGAATGCTATTCGCCTTACCCAGGAAATAAACCTGTGTAGTCCAATCTCTGAAAATGAGTAAAAAAACTCTCTCAGAGACTGTCCTCGATGTCCCGGTCTGGTTCAGTTTTAACAAGGCAGAGGCACCTTTCTGAGGCCAGTTAAAAATGCATTTAATCACTATATAAACATGCTGTCCTGTAGCCTCCGTGACAGAGAAGTTATGCTGTCTGTACTTGTGCGTTTAATCACCGCCCTCATACAAACGCCCAATAAAGCGCCTTGTTCTAGTCGTATTCCCATCATTTTTCTTTTTTATTTCTTGCTTTTTTTGTAAATGAAATTACCCTGATGACATCACTACCAAGGGGCTGATTACTTTACTTCCTCTTCATTAACTTAATTATTTGACTATCAGTAAACCCGCCTGAGTAATTCATATTTGAGAGGCTGGGCTGTAAATAAGCTCTTTCTGCTGGTTTATTATGGGCTACAGATTTGCCATTCTCCAGCATGTTAATCAGCCTCGCTGGTTGTGTCTGAATCCGGAGGCAGCTGTCTCGCTGCACATCCAGTCAATGACTTAAAAGATAGCGCTTTTAAATAGTGGTATCTTCAATACTTATATTTGAAATAGAATTTCAAGAAAAATCCAAGTGAGCTTTAAAAATAAATAAATTTGTGTTATATTATATTATATTATATTATATTATATTATATTATATTATATTATATTATATTATATTATATTATATTTAGTGCTGTCAAACCGATTAATATATATATATATATACAGTATACGTGTGTGTGTGTGTAGGCTATGTATACACTCACACACATCTAGTATACGACACGTATAGATGGATTTTACACAAATAGGCCCATTATGTGAACATGCCTTGATGAAATGTGTGTGTGTGTATAGGCTATGTGTACCACACACACACACACACACACACACACACTCTCTCTCACACACACTCTCTCTCTCACTCTCTCACACGCACACACACACACACACACACACTCTCTCACACTCACTCTCTTACACACACACACACTCTCTCTCTTTCACACACACACACTCTCTCTCACACACTCTTTCTCACACACTCACACTCACACACACACACACACACACACACACACACACACACACACACACACACACACACACACACTCTCTCACACGCACACACACACACACACACAGTATGTTTATATATAGGCATGTTACACAAATAGGCCCATTATCTGAATGTTTTGATTTGATTCAGATTTTGAAGAATCATTGTCATACTTTAGTTTTTCTTTTCGTTTATTTCCAGCAATTTACAGCAACACAGACATATATAACATTATTATACTGTGCATCAACCTCCCTTGCATCCTTCAATGGAAATAAATTACACAGACTTAAACTTGCTTAAATAACATTAACATGAACAAACACTGAGCCACATATGAATGTAAACATGACATTTAGAAACAATCATCCCTCCAGCAATTTACATCACACAGGTAAATGATGCATAGGTGAGAAGTCAGGGAAATGCATATTCATTTAGACTGCATATTTTAATGCAAATAAATATTTCTACAGTATGCATGTTGTACCTTTAAACAAACCAAGCATGTAATTAATCAACTCTAAAACAATGAATTTCAAACCGATTTAATGTTATTTTGTTGTTTTGCTTTGACACCACATGAAACGATATACATTTAAAATGTATAAATGACGTTTTGGGACATAATCAGTGTATCCGTGCAGCCTCAGGAGTTGATTGGGTCATGAAAAGTGCCCGTTTCACACCAGAAGGAAGTTTGCAGTGGATTGTGGAGCACTACTGGCCGCTTGAAACAGCCCCATCACACACTTTTTGACCTGGACATGGAAGCTGAAGGTCAAGTTCACCCTCCAGAGCATCTTGATGTTTCCCAATGGTAATGCTTCTTTTTCAAATCTGCCATTATTTGCTATTATTGCTGTTAATATTACTGTTAACCTGAATTAAATTACTGCACTAGCTGTAAGATTTTAGAAATGCTTCTCAAAACAATATTTCTTTGGAATAATATGCATGGTAGTTTTTTAAGAAATTAAATAGGGATTCCATATTCACCCGTATTTAAATAAATAATAGTTTTTTGCAGAGTTACCATAGCCTATATTTAGTGAAGGTTTATTTGCAATCGACAATGAAGCAAATGTGTTTTGCTGCAAAAACTGTACACATGTAAGCATGACACAGAACATCTGATGCTATTTACAATGAACAAAAACAATAAATTAACATGTAAGTCTTGCTGAAACAAGACATAGCTCTCAAAAATTGTAATCAAAAGCTCTGTTCCAAAACCTAGTGAGCTGCCTTACGTGAACAATTGATTCTTTAACATTAGCATGTTGCGAATCTAACGGCATGATATTTTTTAGCTGTTTATAATTATTTTTCTCTATCGAATTAATAATACATTATCGTTCAAAAGATTGGGGTCTGATTTTTGTATGTTTTTGTAAGAAGTCTCTTATTCTCACAATTTATTTTTATCGGGAAGAAAATCGGTAAAAATGCTAAAATTGTAAAATTTTATTGCAATTTAAAATAACTAATCTTTTTTTTTTTATATATATTATAAAATGTAATTTATTCCTGTGATCAAAGCTGAATTTTCAGCATCGTTACTCCAGTCTTTAGTGTCACATGATCCTTCAGAAATCATTCTAATATTCTTATTTTTTAATATTGCTGATTTGCTGCTCAACAAACATTTATTATTATTATTATCAATGTTGAAAACAGTTGTGCTGCGTAGTGTTTTTGTGGATACAATGATCATTTTTTTTTCAGGATTCTTTGATGAATAGAATAGCATTTATTTGAAATGGAAATCTTTTGTAACATTATAAACGTTTTTATGGTCACGTTTGATCAATTGAATGCATCTTTCCTTAATTTATTTAAAAAAACAAAATGTTTACGTCTACTGTGATCCTTAAAATGCCGTTTACAGGTTTTGGAACACAGCTTAAATGCTTGTTATTAGTTATATTGAACGTCTACTTTGTATAAGATTCTCTGACACCTCAAACATCAATGAAGTCCCTCTATACTGTATACTTGGTTGGCTTTTCGTGTGTCTTTAGGTGGCTAAATGGTTTGGCTTTTATAGTCTCAGTTTTTTAATCTTACCATTGCCAAAGTCAGACCACAGCACAGGACTGTAATGCTGTTGCGAGTTCATGCAGTCTCAGTTTCCATTTGGAAATCTTTTCATAACCCTGCCCCAATCTTCCTGTCGCCGCCTCCCACCTCCTCCATGTCGTCCTCAGAGAACGGGCTGTCGGCGTGGTATCCTAACGCCGATGTGTGGTGCAGAAAGTCTGTGGAACGTGCTACATTAAGGGTGTCGTTTATAAACTTGTGTGGCCCTTCCTCCTCGTCTTCTTCATCGTCCTCGTCGAGTTCGTCCTCTTCCTCGTGCTCCTCCACACTCTGAGCGAGAGCCCTGCGACCGTCCCTTCCTGGTCTCTCATTGGTCGGTTTGCTTCCCCCCCGTTGGCGTTCGACCTCGACCTGTGCGGCCTGTTCTTTAGCCTTACGACTGCGTTTCCACTTCATTCGCCGGTTCTGGAACCAGATCTTGACCTGTTTTACACACAAACACACACGGATCTCAGCAAAATAGACACCTTTTGCCAGAGAAACAATAATCAAAAAAAGAAAACAATGTATGGAAAAGAAACTTTGGACACTAGGTGATACCATATCAATGTTTTTTTGTTTTTTTATTGAAATTATTATTATTTTCTTTCTCCAACCGAATGAGTCGAATTTTAATAACTTTTTGGGTCTTTTTTTCATGTTCTGAAAGAAGTCTCTTACCAAGGCTGCATTTATTTGATAAAAAATACAGTAAAACTAATATTGTGAAATACAATTAAAATGAATTGTTTTCTGTTTTAATATATTTTAAAATGTAATTTATTCCTGTGAATTTTCAGCATCATTACTCCAGTCTTCAGTGTCACATGATCCTTCAGAAATCATTCTGATTTGCTGCTCAAGAAACACTTCTGATTATTATCGATGTTGAAAATAGTTGTGCTGCTTCATATTTTTGTGGACATTTTTTCCAAATTATTTGAATTATAGAAAGTCCGAAAGAACAGTATTTGTTTGAAACAAAATCTTTAGTAACAGTCTTTTCTGTTACTTTTGATCAATTGAATGCACTCTTGCTGAATAGGTCTAATTTTTTTTATTTATTACCTCAACTTTTTTTTCAGTAATGTAAATCCGTATATCACCGTATAATGTATATCAAAACTCCTCCACTGGCTGACTTTCACACTTCTTTACCTGTGTCTCGGTCAGCATGAGTGATGTGGCCACTTCGAAGCGTTTGGGTCTGGAAAGGTACTTGTTAAGTTTAAACTGGTTTTCCAGCTCCAGTAGTTGTTGACTGGTGAATGCTGTCCGTGGCCTTCGACATTTACCCATCAAACCGGACTGGGGGGCGGCTGTACGACAAAACGAAAGAATGAGGACATTAATACATTGTATATATCAATTATAAACAGGTTTAACACAAAAGACCATTAAATTGAGTTTGTTTAGTTGTTAGTGGTCAGAAGGACCCCCATCCAAGTGATAGTCTTTTGTGTAGATATGGTTCAGATCTTTGAGTGATGGGTTATTTCAAGTCTGCGCAACGCTAATAAAATGCAAATATTCTGCTGCAGTTTAACATAACTTCATGTTGAACTTACTAAGGGCATAAATGTTTAGCAGCATTTTTACTTAAAAGCCTGGATAACGTCATTGCTAAAACTGTAAATCTCTTCCAAATTAATAAGAGGCCTCTTGTGCCGGTATATAAAAATTAAGCACCAGCCAAAAGGGATACAAGCTACAAGCTATTTTTATGAGATTTTTGTCTCTTTTATATAATGTCAAGGACTTGCAGGGTTGGACACACACACACAAAACACACAAAAGAAAGCCTAGAATTTGTAGCTATCATTTACTATAATAGCTTTACTGCAGCTTATTGTTGAACACAGTTGAAGCAGGGCTGGGCGGCCATAAAATGCAAGAGCAAGCCATTAACTTAATGAAAATTCAATGAACGCTTTTGGGATTTTATTGATGAACTACAGTATGTTTAAGGTGTTTGTTTATAGTTTCTCTCTCACACAAAGACAATTTCCATCGAGCTGACATTTATGGGTTTATAAAGAAGCCAAAAATAAAATTATATTATTACAGTTTGGTGTAAATCCTGGTAACACTATACAGAACGTTGTTCAGTCAGAGTGTCAAAATGACTTTATTGTTGAGTTGTTGTTTCTTTAACTATCCAAGGATAATATAATCTTTCAATCATGTCTATGAAGAGTGTAATGTCTGTTAAATATGATCAAATAAATTGGCTATTTGTTTGTTTACAACGTATTATTTTAGTTTTTTTAAGTTCTTTAAAATTTCTGCTTTCAATTTTCAAAAGCTATTTTAATTGCAAATATATAACTAATATATAGTCATAATTTCCTGATACTTTCTTATCATTTAGCCACCTAGATTAATTCAGCAAACTAATTTTGCCACATGTGACCACCATGATTTCAGTTTAATAATCCATCAAACAGGAGTTATAAACCATCATAATTGCTTAGTGACTAATTAACTCCAGGTCTTTCAAGAGTCACAGGTGTGTAAGCACATCTCTCTCCCTCTGTTTGCTTTTCCTCACCTTTGATTATGTTGAAAAGGATTTCATGAGCTTTTACAATGTTTGCTTTCAAACCGACAATGGCGGTAATGCAACAAAATTTTGGTGTATGACAGTAATGATGCCATAATGATGGAGGTGCACAATTTATGTATTCTGCATGATTTGGAGAAAACTTCCAGTGACAGCTTCTATTTTCTATACTTTTTCTATTTACATCAGATGCTTTTGTAGTTTTTTTAATTACGGAAAAAACGTAATTTGTGCTCATGTGAATTCGGAGTACTTTAAAACAGCACTATTACGAAAATAGGAATTATTTCTTTTGAAAAACAAAAAGTCAAGTTAGAACCAAAAATAGCTTCAAATGGAACTTATAATGCTTCACAGATCATGTTTTTATAGTTAAGCAGGTCAAGAACTTTAAATCATATATTCAGATGCAATTAATTTGTTTTCATATAGCCCTGTTCATATGTGAATGTAGATCAGCTAAACGGTTTAGTATTATGTTAAATAAATACAATTGTTATGGTACTCCACTCAAATTTCATCGATAAGAATAACAAACGAATATCAACCATTTAATGCTTAACAGATTAATAATGCATTCAAATGTCATAGAACTTTCATGAATCAAGGATTGTTGAATGTATAGTAATGATTTAACAAAGTGTTACCCACTCATCTGCATGCTACCCCACTCACAGGTGTAATCGGGCAGTCGTGGTACCATGATGCCAGCTCGTATCCAGTGCTCCAGCGGTAAAGACCCGGCCATCGCCGCCGCCTTCAGCTGCTCCGGGTACGGGTGCGTCAGCTGCGTAAAACCCGAGTACGCCAGGGCGGGGTGCTGACCTCCCAACGCTGAAATGGGGTACATGGGGGTCGTGTACATGCCTGGAATTGAAGTGAGTCCTGGGTGTGGGAGATTGAGCAGCCCTGGTTTAGGTATGATTCCGGTTTGGAGGTGTATGGCGCAGGGGGACGGAGTGTCTGCGCGCCTGCAGGACACCGGGCTACCAGTCGGGCTGTCGCTGCTCAGTCCAGGTGATACTTCTCGTGTCCCTCGATGTGGTTCTTCAGCCAGAAGAGCGTCGATCCTGAAGTTCTTTGATTTTTCCATTGCAACGCTTCTAAGTTGTTTGGAGTTGCAGGAAAACACTTGGATAGCTGTGTTTTACGCACAGATACATGCGTTTTAAACACGATTAGTGATACTTTCTGCTCTATTTTAACTTGTGGGATATGTAGAGTTCAGTCTAAGTGATATTTGGAACTCAGCCCATGAGACGGCCAAAGTACCAGTTAATAAAGTATCTCTAAACTTTTACGCACAAAAAAAGAAAATAAATAAAACGCGCCAAGAAAGGATATACAATCGCTAAATCGTTCTTTAAAACGGCGGTCTCTTGTTTAGAACAGTATCTCTGTCATCTACCCTGCTCTCTGAACCTCTCCGCGCGTTCACATCGCAGTCATAACGCCTTTGTGAGCGCTGATTGGCTGCAGTGGATGTCCTGCGGGAGTAGATCACTTGACAGTTTTCTAATTAACTAATCATACTGTAGTACAGACTCTTCGAGCACGTCCTTGGACTGAGACTTGTTCCTCAACCAACATCATAGCAACGACACTTGCGAAGTTTCCAAAGTGCATGAAACCAAGCGTTTCTCGTGGCTTAGCCTACTGTAGCTCAGTTAATCGCACCAACTGCATGTTTAAAGGTATCCCTAAATCATCTAAATTAATTAATAAATGACATAATGATAGCAATAGTAATGATATACATTTTTTTGTCGCGATAAGTTTATTTATTTTGTAAGATTATGATTTGTTAGACCTTAAAACCTGCAATTGGTGCTATATAATTTATTATTATTATTATTACAATTATTCAGTATCTCACATAATATCAATTAAAAAATAACCTCACTGAGCAGTTGTCCAAGATGCAGCCTACCTATTAATAATAATAATGTAGCTAATCTAATATTTTTTACGAGCCGCATATTTAAAGAATTTCGTCTGTATTATCAAGGTAATTTAATTTTATGACTTTACATTATACATAGTCCATATAATTATGCATTTACCTATACAATAAGTCAAATGTTTGCAGCATTAAATGGTCTGATTAAAAAGTGTTTTGTCACATAACCCAAAAATGTATAGGCTACTATGACATCCAAATTTCAACTGTTTCTTTCAAATTCATTATGACTAAATTAACCAGACTATATGGATTTAGACAAATAAAATATTTGTAAGCTGAGGTTGCTTCTTATTTTTTTTTATTTTTTTTAAAGTAGGCCTACATTAAGTATAATAATGATGATGATGATGATGATGATGATATGATAATAATAAATGCTTACGGCGTGAATTTATATTTTCTAGAATCTCTCATCAGTTCGAAAATACAGTTTGTTGCTCATTTTCATGGACTTGAGTGTTTATTCCACTATATATGATGGGTATTAAGATGCTTTTAATAAATTAATTTAAGACAGAATAGTCGGTTCGAAAAAACACAAATCCGACCGCATTAACATCGTGCGATAGCGTAAATAATCATCGCACATTTGCTGTAGTCAATATATTCTACAATCTTCTGTATAGGCCTAAATGCAAACACAAAGTATGCATTAGCTATAACAAGGGGAAACAAATAATAAAAATAGTTGTATACCTATATATAAAATAATGAATGAAATATAGGCAATTCATTCAAAACCTTCATTCCATCTATGACCTGCTTGTCGTAAACACGCAATAAATCGAGACGAAATGAATTGCAATTCGCAGCTGTTATTTTAAATATTGCCTACATGAAAAGGCAGTGGACGGTGGATTAATAACATGGAAAACAGTCCCTGCACAGGCGACGTGAGGCTGAAACTCTGATATCTTCGCCTTGACCCGAGAAGATTGGAGCATCCCGCCCCTCTATACCGTAAATGCGACGCTGAAGCAGACTGACTCAACACCTAGTGTGCTCCCTACAGTCTACATCGGTCATGTCTTTGATGACAATATTGCACATGCATATCATTGCATTGTACATGAAAAAAAATTAAATAAAAAATAGGTGATTTTTTTAGTAATTTTTTTTAATCTAAAAACAAATATGTGCCTACCAAATATGCTGTCTAGTTAGGCAGCTCAGTCGGTATTGAGACACAGCCATTGGAGCTAATCTGCTCAAGAGAAATCAAGCGCTCTACTTCGCATCTTCCCAGCAACCTCTACCTCTCCCTCTCCCTCGGCCGGTGCGCTGCTTTTATGATTTAAAAGTAATTTAAACAGCCCGGCCACTGGTAAATCCGTCTTTGGCACCCTGTGACAGAGGTGCGCAAATTAAATTGAATCAATGGCACCGCCGGCCTCGTGTCACGTCCTCTCTATTGCGCGCGCACACATGCAGGTTTGTTGCATGCTTACCAGTGACATGCATTGCAAAAATAAGACTGCTGACATATATCTGTAATAAGAATGATTGTGATTTATCTGGTATATTTCTGTATTCGTTTTTTAATTGAAATGTTTAGATTTAATTTAAGATGTTGCAGTGTTTTGCAGATGCACTATATTGTGTTCTTTCTAAACATTATGCCCGAATGGCCTATCCACACACTGTTCCTCTTTTATAGCTCAGGTGTCTTGATAGAAATCTAAGTTTTATGTTTTACTTAAAGGGATAGTTCACCTAAAAATTGAAATTGTGTCATTACTCACCCTCAAGTTGTTCCAAACCTGTCTGAGTTGTTTTCTGTTGAACACAAAAGAAGATATTTAAAAAAAATGTTGGAAACCAGACAGATGACGGTATAGCCGCATTGACTTCCATAGTAGGAAAAAAAAAATCATGCATGCGGAAGTCAATGGCTACCATCAACTGTCTGGTTACAAACATTCTTCAAAATATCTTCTTTTGTTCCATACAGAAACAAAACTCATACAGGTTTGGAACGAGGGTGAGTAAATAATTAAAACATTTTGGGTGAACTATCCCTTTAAGAATCAACTTTCTCCGAAGTTTTTCCTAAAGTTCCTTAATTGTTGATACACAGTAAAGAGTATAAAGCTAATTTATTTAGTCAAGGACTTGATGAGAAATGTTCAAGTTCAAGATAGGTTAAAGAAATGTTTAAATACTTCATATTTCACAGACCGAGATGTTTGAGCACAGTAGTCATTTTTTACATTTTACACAAAATAATGCATGTTCTAAAATAAAGTTGTGAATTTTGTTCTGTTTTACTACATGATGTAGTCTAGATCAATGCTTATTTGAATGTTCATGCATGTACAGTAGGCTATACAAGCATGCACACACTGCGCTTATAGATCACATATCGCCTTTAGATCACATATCACAGTGCGCTCTTGATGTGCCTTTCAAAGTCAAAGTTTATCATTTAATTTAAGGCCTGTAAACTTTAGTACCTGTCGTGTTTACTGAACATTAAAGGCCTTATCGCTGATTTCAGACATATTCTGCGGTCATTATCGCAGCTCAGCAGTGAACAGACTCATGACCTCTGTTTGATCCTCTGTCTGAGTCAGCAGTTCACTTCTGATTAGCATGACCCCAATTCCAGTCTGGTGCAACCTGGCCTGTTGTTCATCTTTATTTTGAACTATAATATGTCTGGAGCAAAAGTAATATCCTGGAAGTAATATTTGCGTGGACCCCTCACATCAGAAAAGGTAAAAATCGAGTCTATTATTAGATGTTTTATTAAACGTGTGCCATTCACGAGCCCTTTTAGTGTACCAACTTTTGAAAAATTAGTGTGAGGTTGCATCTAATGCATTATACTAATTATTCCTGCTCAGGAAAGATCTCTGAGGACGGCTCCTTTCCTGGCAGAGCTTCTGAACGCTGATAAATATCCAGCTTTTACCCAAATGACAGAAAGTAACTTAAAATCATTCTTTATCTATGGTTTTGTCCTCGATTTGCACCTTTCAGTGTAATTTGTGCTGCTAAACGTAACATGCTTTTATCAGGACTCATAAATTCATCTAGGCTGGCATGAAATGATGTTGCTTTATTATGTTGATCAGTTTTGTCATGGCTACAATGACTCTGTGATGGGTCAGGAAGCAATCGTTAGTTCAGATAAGACGACTTCAAAGATAATTATGACACCTCCTGTCCTCTCCATCTGAAAACACTCTTCATATTTACATTCAGGGTCATTTATGCAGTATATCATACTGTATATGTCTTAACTGATTGAATATTTAATCAAAATATTAAGAACAATATAATTTAAATAATTTTCAATAATAACTTTTAAGAATTTTTATATCATATTAATATTTAACAATTTTATAGATGGAAATCATATTACTGACTTCACCTTTATTACAATATCACTTTTAAAAGAACCTTTAACACAAACTAAAAACAGGCAATTTATTAAGAAATATACAATTTTTATATTCAAAATATATATATTCAATCTAAACATATTTTGTTGTTTTAATTGGTCATCAATTTATAGTTTTTCTATTATGTTAGTCTTTTGTAAAAACAAATAGTTCTTTAATGACATCATCATCCATGAAGTGATTTTGAAGGGAGCACAACAGCATAAACTGGAAATTTATAAAAAAGTGTTTTTCTTTAATTATAATATTTAAAATGTACATCTTAATATTGTTTTTACTGGTCATCAGTTTATATGTTTTTCTCCTGTGTCCCCAATGCACTTTCTATTAGACTTTTGTAAAAACAAAATCTAGTTCTTTAATGACATCATCCTCCAGGAAGTCACATCATTATTTGGAGGGAATACAAAAGCACAAACATCAGTGAGTATTAGCAGACTGGATTAATTATGTGATGTTTTGCGGTATTAGTTGTCTTACTTTAAAACATCCATCCAGAAACATTACAGAAATTTGTGTGTTAATCTCAAAATATTACAAGATAGTTAAAATGAGCTTTCCTCATGTAAGATAACAGAAGTCTGAACTCCCTTCAGAGTGCACCAAAGCCACGCCTCCTCCAAAACACATGAACACACACAGCAGAGTCTGGAAAGCGTCACGAGACGAGACAGCGTTAAACTACCTCTTGTCTCAAAGCACATAACATTACAATAATAATGAATATAGAGTCTGATAGAGACTGTTGCAGTTTAATGTCAGTGTTGATAGTGTTGCCATGGAAACGCATCATTTTCGAGTCACGAACAGCTCAGAGTATAACGTCACGGGTTTCCATCTCTTCCAAATTACAGTAGTTATAGTGTGAACGCAGCATAAGATGGTTGTTTTGGATCAGGAGGAACTGTTAAACGGTTTCGTTTGCGGTGCTCTGTGACTGACGTCTGTCTAACTGCATGAAACGCACTGATGACGTGTGATGTCTGTGCGAGCAGGTGCGTGGAGGTATGGCAATTCATATGTTGACAGGCAAG